CCTATCAATCTATTTCCTTTGCAGTGACAGAATTTACAGTCACTTCAAAATCCATTAAAACATTTCCAGGTTCTTGCCTTATTTGAAACTGCATGTCATGTACATCACATATTTATGGTATACATCATGTTTTATAGCTACAGCATACCATGATTTTGTTTTAATTGAGATCTCCATGCTATCAGCCTAACCCAGGAATGCACATTTYCATGTCCTGCAGCTTGCCTCTCCTTTGAAGAGCTGTGCAGTGACATGCAGAGGACACAGGTATTCTTCCAGAGAGTTATACCTGAATGCCCCAAAAGAAGCCTCCTCCTTTTCACATTTACTCAGGGTGTATTTACACAGGTCGTGCATGACATGTCACCTTTCAGCTCTCTGACTTGCCATCTCCAGCTGTTGCCAGCAGCAGAATGGTGAACCTTGCAGGGAAATGAAGGTTATTTAGAAGTCACACAGTGCTTATAGCTTTTGTTGTGGCCGTGTGGAAGTGACAACCGACCCTGCAAATGAGGGCAACTTCTGCGTGTTCATAATTTGTTTATYGCTAGTCAGATGTTCTCAGTGTCCCCTTTTCCATGTCTCTGGCAGYGCTGTGTGGAGTTGCAGTGATGCAGGGACAGGAGGCTGGTTAATGCAGCTCGTGTTGTCACCCTCACGGGGCTCGTTTGCCTACAGGCATGTCAGAAGGAACAAGGAATATAAGGGCATATATAACTGTAGCTGGCAGTGAACTGAAAAGATGTCGAAACTCCCTTTAAATGAATRGTGTAGGACATCAGGAGCTAAGTAGCTGAGGAATAAGATAAATTTTCTTGAACAGTGTGGATAAGTGTGCCTGGCACTTGATCTAAATGAGTATGTGTGTGTGGTGTGCAGTGCAGACATCCCTCGTGTGCTGTCTGTTCCTAACACAGTCCTGCACATTTCCAGTATCCGTCACAGCTCACATCACCTGCACTTCTGCACAGTTTAAACCTGATGGGAGGGACTAAAGAAGGCAAAGGCAGAGCCTCCTCACTGCAGACACTGACCTTCTGCTCCCTCCGTTCAGGAATTGAAGGTTCGGGGTGTTTTTCCACAAACCTTTAGGGAGGAGTAGAGAAGCCTGTAGTGTGATTGATGTGATGTTAGCTGATGTTCTGCTCTTTGATGGTGTGCCTGCACAAGCCTGAGCCTGTGTGTGCAGATTCCCACTGGAAAGGCCAGGAGCAARCCACGTGTCCCTTCTGTGGGTGCAGCCTGGGCTTGATTTAGTTGCTGGGGATCTGAGCAGAGAGAGATCCGAGCTCGTTCTGCCTCTCCATTTGGGATTGTGGCTGTTAACTCCACGTGTGTGTCCTTTCATTGGCTAATTGTTTTTTTTTCCCAACTATTCTCCTGCACCTGACACCACAGGCTTTCTGTACTTTGCACCAGTACACAGCAGCCTGTGTAGGAAGGGAAATGTAGGACAGCCACACATACACGTACACAAAAAAAAAGTCATGTAATCTCCTGTGATGATCCGATGCGATTATCTGCCGAGGTGTTCCAGGGAGCTGTACAGACAAGTTGTTCCAAGGCCAGATTTTCACTGAAGGGAGTAAAGAGCATCATCATTATTACTGAATTTGGACACTCCATTGCAGCTGTGCTCTGAGGGAGAGGAAATGTTGGAGAGTTTAAAGCCATTGACTGGCACAGGAGAATTGCTAGTGTGCAACCTTGCTGCCACCCAGCATAACACAGTTCCCACTYTGGATCAATTCCAGCTGTCAGACCCCAATTTACTAACCCACAGTGGGAAGGACACGAGTTTTCTTCCAGAAGGTCGGTATTATTTAAGGTTATTGCWAGTGAGTAAACCTGTTCCACCTTTATGAAGAAAACATTGCTGTGGAGTTTTTAGGAGGCRCGCAGTTATAATGAATAATGAATATGTGATACTTTGGTGGTAGTGTTTAGCTCAGCCTGAGAGAGAGAAAATAATGGAAGTCTCTTCTTTCTGCCTGGGTGTTCAAACGGAGGAAAATCAAAGCTGTTRTACCAGAGCTATATATCAGCAAACGTATTTTAGGAACTGTGGAATGATCATAATTACAAAAAAGTCCTCCAGAGAGAAATTATGAGTCATAGTTTATGTTCTCTTTGGTGTTGCTATGGAAAAAGAGGTTAGTGCCAATGGTCATACAACAATATTAATCTCTGATCTGAAAGAAAAATAAATAACCATCTCTGGCTTAACCCAAAGCAGATTTATTCTCAGTTACTGCAGCACACTCCATTAAAGGGGATAACCACGTAAGAAWAATTAAAGATGACATTGATTATCAGTTCTCAACGTGCAGTTAGGGAGAGTCCCTTACGTGAATTAGTGTGYGCTTCAGACTCCAGCAAATTACTTGGTGGAGTGAGAGGAAGGAAAAAAAAGGCGTTTTGATCAAAAGGAGGGCAGGAAAGATCAGCCACCACTGACAGCTGCAAGTATGCTGATTAAAATGTCTTTATGCATGCAGTTAGACTCAGCCCGGGCTGGGTGCTGGTTCAAATGCAAATCCCAAAACAAAACCCTGGCAACGGGCAGTTGGAAAGTGGCTCTCAGCCTTTTTCCGTTTATTTGGGAAAGCCGGGGCAGTGAGTCAGGGAGCGGTGGATGTTTGGGTGCTGAGTCAGCACCTCTGGGGCTCTGCCAGYCTTTTCCTGCCCCTCGTTTCTTTGCCGAGGCAAAACCCAGAGCAGGACTGGGGCCAAAGAGCTGTGTGCTTGCCTCGGTTTGCTCTGGGTGGATCTTTCTCTTTGCCTGCAGGAAAAGCCTGCCTGCCACCTTCCCCTCGACCCCAGAGTGAGTGTGTGTGTCTCAGTGGGTCACAGGAGAACTTTTCCACCCGCCTGCCTGCCCCACATTGTTTTCAGGAGCTGTAGCTGGGTCACTCCCTCTCAGACAGCTCCCGACAGCAAAGACCTTGCAGTTAGAATTTAGCTTAAAATTTCGCTCACAATGCACCCTGCAAAGCAGGGCAGAGCCCTCCTTTCTGCCACACCGCTGCATCTGCCGTGCTGATGGCATCCTGCTGATGGCAGGAAAACTTTTTGTTCTGTTGATGAGCTCAGCAGATCGGRCTGGGGAGATACACAGACCTCACATCCTGCATCTGAGCACACAGCTCTGGCTGATGACCGCAGGAGTTGTATGCGTGGCCCAAAACCATTGTACGGCTCAAAGGGTCTTTTGAGCCAGCTGAAGGCTTTTCATTGCCTTTCAGGGCTGGACTGGCTCCTTGTGAACGGTTTGACCTCTAACRAATTGCCATTACTTGGCTAATTCTTCGGAGCTTGCCTCTTTTTGCAGTGTGTGCCTATCGGTCATCAGCTGTGCAGGTGTTTGGCATTACAGCCCACAACAGCTGAGSGTTTTCATGGCATCAGTGTAAAGGGTATCAGGTGTATTTTACCCTCTGATCCTCTCCTTCTCCCCTTTCTTCTGTCTGGTAAAAAGAAAGAACGTGCTCCAGCCAGGCCTGTATGATGGCTTTCACTGCACTCTCTGATTTGACAGTGAAATGGTCCAGAAAACCCCAATCTGTGCCTTTTCACAGAGGAGATGGCTCGTGGATTAGCACGTGTGGGTCAACAGGCTCCTCTTTGCTCTTTCCCCTAAAAGGGGACAGAAATGTCAGCTGGTTTTCTGTCATWGAAAATGGAAGTATCAGCAGCTGCTGAGTGCTGCTAGTTTAAATATTTATGCCATAAGGGTTTTATCACACCCTTTTCCTTTGTGCAAAGCTCCYGCCGATTTTGGTGGAGGTCAAACTCCCAATCTGTGCAGCAGCTCGCAGGTCAAGTCTTCCAAGGAATAATGGTACGAGCAGAGCTGTACTGTTACCGTGTCAGGAAGCGTAAACAAGCAGTTTTTAAAAGAAGTAATCGTGTAGACAAACCTGTCAGCACCATCAYGGAATACTCGTGCATATGCTTGACATCTGCCAGCCTGACGAGATCCAGGCACATACCGGAGATACTTGAGAGAAAAAGCCCTGCAGTCTGTCTCCTCCCTCCAACAGTGAGTTTTGCAGGCTGATGTTTGCAGTCAGGCCTTGAGAATGGAAGAAACAGCTTGGGGGACATCTTGAGATCCTTAGCTTGTTTTCTCCTCCCGTTAATAAGACAGCACAAAAGCAGGCATTCACGAGTTGAGTAAACATTTTTTTCTCACTTGCAAAGCGTGCTTTCTTTTGTTTSTTAGGATTACAGACCCACCTGTCCTTGTAAATGTGTGATTGTGATGGAGGAAATATTTAATTCTAGTCCTGCARCTGATGGCTCTGTGTGTGCCATATTCCGAAGTGGGTATTTGAGTTAATTCTCCCAGATGCTCAGTATCTGCAATTCCAATGGTTTTACTGGAGAGCATTGTAATGCTCTTAGAATGCTGTGCGTGGGATTCATTTCAGCATCTCTCAGACTGGATAAAGCATGGCCAGGGGTATTGTTTGAATTAAAGCTTAGCAGGACAAACAAACCAGCATATCTGAAAGCAAAATGTAAACATGATGCTGGGGCTCCCGGTTAGCACTTGGTGGCTGCGGGAGCWTGACAGCTGCTACATAAAGGTTAAACGTGCTTTCTTTGGTCTGTCAGGAAAATTAAGCCTGCTAAAGACTATGTGGCACTCCAGAAGACAAGAGTTTATCTGTGTGCGTAAACAGAACATAGACTTCAGTATAAATATGCTTTCAGGACTATTTAGAGTATTAGGAGTATGCCACAGTCCAATAAAAAGAYGCAGATTGAGCTAGCAGATTTTGGAAAGTGTCTGAATATATTTAGATTGGGCTAGAAATCTGAAAAGTGTCTGGAAAGCAAAACACTGGTGTTTGAATTGCAAAATAACAGCACAGGATGAGAAAGAAAATGGTGCAGGTACAACAGGGACACGAACTGAAATAATAAACACTTGACCTTTAAATTTCATCTTTGCCGGCTTCTCAGGCTGCTKCTCCCAAAGACTGACATGGCTGTGTTTTATATTATGCTTTTATTTGTCATWTTCATAGTTAGTTACAAGTAAAAATTACTGAAATCCATTGTAGTTAATACAAAATAAAAATATAGCTGCACGAGTTATGGCATGATTTTTCTTAGAAACAGTATCTTCTATATGATACCATGCACTTAAGAGCTTAACTCTTAATAGTACTTGCCTAYACTAAGCTCTGACTAACTAACTTCCAGTGTGATTTACTGGTTACAGATATTATCCCTGGGGAGTAATACCTGTTAATTATTTTGTAATGGTACTTCTGCTGCAACTTTTATTTCCCCTGTAATTTGTGATTCTAAACACAAAAGGAAGCAACCTTTTAGTGCAATGTTAAGTATCAGTAGAATTTTTATATATATTAAAAAAATAAAAATAACCCACTGCATAAGCAACCAAGGATGTAAGGTAACTGTTGTGGGTATTGTGCTTCCCTTTCCTTCCTTCCCCCTTACCCTTGTTAAGTGACAGGAATGAACATTCATAGTGAACAAACTACCTTGTAACCTCTCATTTTCAATTAATTTTGAAAAATTACAAACTAGTAATTTTGAGAGCAGGCAGGTGACTCTGATCAAATTATCAGCAGAGAACCAAATCCTGTGGCTTTGCAGASTCATACTTGCATAAACTCATCCCTGCCATGAAGTTAAATCTGTAACACGTTGTTCCCTTTGGACACGCCTGAAAGAGTRTTTCACCTTTTTGAAGAAATTGTCCTTACATCCCTGTAATACTCTAACTCTCCTGTGTAGATATAGCTCTATATATGAAATAATTTGTAAAAAGATAAATTATGCTATTTTCAAAATACTCTGAGATACAAAGTTGTGYAGGTGCAAAGTTTGATAGTATACTGCTCTAAAGACTAAGAATTAATTAGTGTTATCTGAGTATATATAATTTTAGCTGAGAGTATAGACTGAATATTGTGGGGGGTTATTTTTTCTTTTTTTATTTACGTTTCATAGCATTTCATATTTTCTYCAGGCAACCTTCATGTTCCTATCAAACACCTATTTTTTTCTTTTTGRTTTCTGAACCCTTAAAGGTGCAGTAACTGATCACACATTCATGCTTGTCATTAATGTATTTCCATAACGCTGTTAGATTGAAAAACTCTTTTTTTTTTTGTTTCCCCCACCTAAACAATGTCATTTCTTCTAAATGAATAGCGAGTGACTAGTGGCAAAAATCTTTCCCCCACTGAAATGGATGGAACTGAGTTTTCAGCTTTGCCCCCTAAGTACTCTGCTCTTTTAGYCCTACAGTGCCGTGGAGCAAAACCCCAAACAGATATAGGTGTGTGCACAGTTACTGAGGCTGTTAGTATTCACGGAGCACAGCGAGGCAATGAAATCAAATGTTCTCATTGGCATTCCTACATTTACATACAAAGCTACTCACAGGGCTGGGAAATACTGGGGGAAGGAGAAGAGAGAACAGAAATGCCTGGGTCTTGACTACTCCCCACACATTCCTAACCCTAAGAAAGCCAGCTGAGCAGCTCGCTCCTGCCAGGCACCCTCTCTTCCTGCTCCTCTCCTACCCCAGCTGGCGGCATCCCGAAATTCACCATCACCAGTGCCTCGGCGTTAAACTTGTCACTGCCCCTGYCCACTCTGCGCTCCAACACGAGGCAATAAATTATCACTGCAGAGCAAAGGATGGAAGGGGCGAAGCGGCTGCTCCTGCCCGTGCAGCTGACAGCAGCTCAGTTCCTCCCCGAGCAGAACCGCGCGTGTCGGGCAGGAGGAGCCGCGCTGGCGGCGCCTACGCCGTTTGGTCCACCTGCAGGACGGCTGCTTGGGTCGTCTCTTCGTCYGATTGTTCCATCTCCCCGCCAACTGGGTGGCTTCTCTCGTCGTACAGTTTCTGGCTGGGAGCTTCCAGAGGCACCCCGTACTCTTCGTCGTCTTCCACGATGGACAGCTCGATGTTGTTGTTCACCAYGGCCTTGCCTTCCACTCTGGCCTCCTTCTCCAGCGAATCCACGGCTGCTTTGCCCTCCTCGGCCAGGGAGGTGCTGGGTGTCATATCCGAGTGCATGTCAGCGAAGGACATCTCATCCTCGTTGTCTGCCTGCTCGGTGCTCGCCGTTTCTGACGGTCTGTCCTCGGTTTCGGCGGGGCTCTCTCCATCGCGGCCCTTCTTGGCCCCAAAGGTGAGTGGAGACACTTTGAACGCCGAGCCCTTCGARGAGGAGGATTTCTGGTGATGCACGGTGAGGGATTTCTTGATCTTTTCTCTCCGCTCAGGGGACACAATCTTTGTGCTGATCTTGTTCATCTTCTTCTCGATGTTTTGTCGGGAAAATGCTTTCTTGAGGCTGTCCACCTTCTTGAGGCTGGATCTTTTGAGTTTCTCAGCTCTCGATTCTTCTGTTTTCTCCTCTGCACTGTCATCCAAGTCATCTTCCTCATGAAACGTTTCATCATCTGAGCCCAATTCCACTGTGTGCATTGTTTCTTCCAGTGCTTTGTTCTCATCCGTGGGCTCCTCTTTTCCCTCTGTAATGCTAGGAATGGGCTCTTTTGCAAAAACACTGGCAGGGATCTCATTTTCCTCCTGAAAGAATCAACAGTATTTGAGTTTCATAGTTCACAGGACACAAATTTAATAAACAAAGCACAACCCTGACCAATTATTTTCTTTCCCCCACCATGATGAGATGAACACTGAACGTTTATTTTTTTCAATACATTTAACCAGTAACAAACCACTCAAARCCCACTGAACCATTACCTGGTAAAGTTTAAGACTCATGAGCTGTCAGCTGTAAGRCTGCTCTTTCAAAGTGACTTGGAATGTATGCAGAATGGAAATCCTGTTCTTTGTCATTGATATTAGCTACTCTTTAATAAGAGCTTAGCTGTCAAGATGTACTCCTGGGGGAGAAGGGAGGGTGAGGTGGGGAGGGAGGCTCACAGAACCCCACAAAGCTTTCAGTTTCTTGAGCCAAAGACTGAGAATATCCCTGCAGAGGTGTTGGTTGCATCTAGGAAGCATCTCAATGGCAAATGCACTTGYTCTATATTCCTGAAAAATGTATGTTGCTGTTAAAAATATATTGCTGATATTGAGAAACCACGCAGTCCATGATGGTTGGAGTATATCCTATTTTACTGCTTTTTACAGGAAAAAGAAAACGAATACATTTGGTTGGGAAATATTAAAATGTGGACAACCCCTTGAAATGTAAGAGTAAAAAATTATGGTGTACAAAAATAAAAAAAAAGACATTAAACCACATGGAAAACAGGAGCTTCCASCTAAAAGGAAAAGTATTGGTTTTTAGAAAGAAAACCAAGAAAGGACATGGAAAGGAAAAAGGTATCTGGAAACAAAGCAGGCTGAGCAAAGGCAGAAGCTGCAGCTTGTGACGAGAGATGTCCCTGAGCACCGAGGGCAGCAGCTCTGCCACCCTGAACAACTCAGAGACAGCACAATGGACACTCTGTTCTGTGGGAGCCTTCACAGGCATCTGCCCATGCAAAGAAAATGAGGCTCCTCTCACACTCCCCTTTCCCCTCAGCACTCTGAGCCTCAGATCTGCATAGTCTCTATTCATTACCTTTTTTATCATTTTCACACAGAGTGCATGCAATTTCACTTCCTCACATGCACTGGAAGGGCTTTTTTTCCCCTCCTCCCTCCGTATTTATCTTCAGATACAAAAAAAGCAGTAAGTGCTGAGTGAAATGGTGGTAATAGTCTCAGATCTGTCCCTGGTGGCCTGAGTGTACAGTTAAGGGGAAAAAAAGGCCACATGCACTTCCAAGTTCATGCTCATTATTTCAGGCCTGAGCACACAGTTGTGATCACTGCAGAGAATAGTGTCATGGGTTAAATTTGCTGTCAAGGCTGTGTAAGGATGTTGTATGTGGTGGTTGTTCAGGAGGAGAGGAGGCTCAGGGGTGATCTTATTGCTCTCTACAACTCCCTGGAAGGAGATTGTGGCCAGGAGGGGGTTGGGATCTTCTCCCAGGCAACCAGTGACAGGACAAGAGAACACTTAAACTGTGTGTCAGGGGAGATTTAGATTGGACATTAGGAAGAATTTCTTCACAGAAAGAGTGATTAGACACTGGAATGGGCTGCCCAGGGAGGGGATGGAGTCACTTTCCTGGAGGTGTTTAAGAAAAGATTGGACGTGGCACTTGGTGTTGGGTCACAGGCTGGACTCGATGAGCTCAGGGGGTCATTTCCAACCTAATTGTTTCTGTTATCCTATGATTCTGTTAAAAAGGAGGACCACTTTTAGCCCTTCTGGAACTCAAGAATATGCAGTGCAGATGGACAGAAGAGTTTTACAGTGCACAGACAGCGATTCGAGCATGCTGGTTCATATCCCTCAAGGGTATAAAAATGAAAAGGATAAAAGAAATGGATGTTGGTTTGACAATTTGTACATGCTTCATTCCCACAGTTTCTGCACACCTTCCTGGACACACTGGCACAAAGCTTCACAGCCCTTTGCCTGCAGTGGAACATCTAAGGAAGCCCACGCTCTTCTCCTGACACCCACAAAGTTGTTACAACTATCAGCAACAGTGACCAAGATAACAAAACAAAGGAAACCTGCACCAGGTTTTAAGCTGCCTAAGTGAAACCAGCTGTTAACTGCTGTACAAATATTTATATTTTCTCTCCACTGCAGTTAATAAAATGTGGATTACATTTGAGAGGGTGCAGCATTGAATTATTCCCCAGAGCGTGAGAATTCTGTACAAAGCAGAGTTTTTTGTGTCTAATGCATTCTTTCCAAACCTAGGTAATCACGCACWGTTTTAGACATCTGAACACTCAGGTGTAAGTGCCTGAATGGTATAAAAAACTCTGATTTTAATGAGTCAAGGTGGGCTGTTAATTTTAAAGTACTTTAGATTTGATTTACATTTTTATCCAATTTCTGATTGAGTGGAACACAGACTGTCAAACGACCCATACTTAAAAAAGAAAAAAAAAAAACCCAAACAAAAATATACTACATAATAATAAGCTAATGATTCAATTAAGAGCAGATCCCAGGTGGTCTTTGGCTATCAGGCAGTGCTGGCATTCAAGTGATCACCCCTCTGTCTCAGCCTCCTGTGGCTCTGGAAAACATCAGCCTCTGGGCATCTATTTGTGTGCTTATCAAATGGGAATGACACTCTCCTGTATCATGTTTCCAAAAGACCTGAGCATTACAGGAACTATKAAAATGCAAATGGGAATAAATTAAGTAAAATGCTTTGAAAGCACGAGGGTGGTACAGCAGACATTTCTGTTTCAAAAATGGCTGCTGATAACTGCAGTAAGTGGACTATTGATAACTTTTTGGTCTCACAAGTTTGTATGACAGCTCTGTTTTGTTTTTGTTTTGATACATTTTTAAGCAGTCTGCTATTTCATTTAGGAAGACTAGAACAATACACTGAAAAACGCCAGCTGTTACAAACTGYATAACTATTTTCCATGCCAAAAGAAGTAGAACTTTGATCTCTTCTTCTTGATCTAATCTAAAATTCTAAGAAAGCAATACATCTTTGTATTTTCCACATCTAAGTTCAAAAACAGCCCTTGCATTTTTTTTTCCAGAAGGGCTTGACTGTAGGTAGCTAGCTCCTCTGAATTTTATTTTTCCATGGAGGAGATAAACACAATAGTGAAAGTTCTCTTCATAAAACAGCTCTTGCTAATAGCAGTAACACAGCATAGTTCAAATCAATGCCTTCCTTGTGGCTTTGATCAGCCATTCTTGGGAACTTTCTGTAGGTCATAATTTCATCCCTATCTTTAAGGAATAAGATCCATAACAGTGTACTAAAAAACTGGGTGGCCTGAGTGAACAGGTAGTTAATTGACTCAAGAAACGCTGAATCTCTGATGCTGCATGAAGGAAATCAATCTGCTTCGGGTTGTTTTTTTTTTTTTTTTGTCACATTTGCTGCATGAGGCCCTGACCTTCAAGAAGGAGAGATGGCATTTTCCCAGCCCAGGCTCCTCTGGATGTTGTAGATGCTGTTATAAGCCTAAATTTACCAACAGCAGCATCTGAAAGACTCCTGAATATCAGGGTGCATTATYGGCTTGTAATTCTCTGGTTCCTTCACTTGTGCTTGACCCCACACTGCAATTYTGACTTATTTTATCTGTCCTATTTGCATGACATTTAACCAGTAAACATGACATTTAATTGAAAAAATTAAACATGAGCCTTTTTTTTTTATCTTCCATTTTGCTCTTGCAGCTAAAAAAGCAAACAAAACCCCCACCAAACCAGAACCAAAAAGCTGGTCATGTGGCGAGAACAAAATAGAGGGGAACAATGCCAAAGCTTAACAAGGATTTTTAAAACAGTCACTTCAGTGTTTTGCTGAATTGCTGTGTCATTTGTAATAACTTTTGCATCCTCAAATTCGAGGAATGGAGCTCCCTTAAAATATGCCACCAATTAAAGAAATATATGCAGACATTCTAGGGAGAGAAAACTAGGAGAATTTTAATGGGAAATATGTAAATAGCTGAACTTTTCTAAACACAGTTCATTCCCAGTGCATAAGCAGAGGGAAAGCTGATGCTGGTGAGTGGCAGCACAGTTTCAGAAAATGCAGRGCTGGGGCTCAGCCGTGTGTTTTGGCTATGCTCAGTGCTCCCACCAAGAATTAGGGAGTTTAGGCTATATGGTGWATGCAGAACTCAATCACAAATGTGTATTATTATTATTATTTTCATATTGAGCTGTCTCCCTGAGCTGGAGGAGCTGGTTCTAATGAGAGACATGCTCTGTGAAGTTTGTTTTTATCASTGGAAAAGGAGGATCCCTCAGCTGAAGAGGAGCCCCATACATCCAGGTTTYCCTTTGTTTTCACAGAAATCTGGCGTCAATATGGCTTCATTTCTTAGACTTCTCCTTCCTGCAATTGTTTTTCCACGGATTCCTGTGCAAGGCAGGACACAAACACAGATTCTTCCCCTGAATGATTATCCTAGCAAGGCAGAGGCCCTGCTGACTACCAGATTGTCCCTCCTCCAGCCTGAAAGGAGATCCTGCAGGGAGATTTGGAGGAGGTGGGCATGCAGGTACAGTCTGAGCATCCCTCTGGGTGCAGCCCCTTCCCAGGGGAAAATCYCAGCTCCTGGCAGACTCCCTGGGAGAAGGTGGGTGCTGCCTGCCCCATGGCCCCAAGGAGCTGTGGGGACCACCCCAGCTTTACAGACAGCCACGCTGCCATTTCACTGCAGGACACTGCCAGGAGCAATTCCCACTTGACAGCAGGTTTATTTATTTATTTATTTTTAAATGTAACTGTAATGCTTCTTTTTAAAGTGCTCCTGATCTGCATTGGCTTGGGATTGGTAAAGTTCATCATCCCACACTGTGGTGACATTTTCTGGCGAGAGAAGGGAACAGAGCCACCCAAATCCCTGTAAAAGCTGTGGAGAGCAGACCTGCTGTCCAAAGGCACCAGCACAGTGCCAAGCACTGGATTTTCTTCATGTCCTACTAGAACTGTGTTGTTATCCTGCTGTGCTGTTTGCCTTGGGTTTGTGCACTTTAGGACCCCGTATTTAGGAAGGGTTCAGAGGTT